AAAATCAACTCAAAAGGAGTCAAAATTGGACAAGGACCAAAACAAGGCAAAAATGCTTACAGTGTGGACCACACATTACTGTGTGCGGCCGCAAACAATGAAGAAGCCTTGTCAGATTAGCTTCAGAGTATGCAGACCGCATAATTTTGGTGCGGCCGCAGAAGAGAGATTCAGATAGTTGGAACTTTGGACAAGCTGAAGAAATGCGGACCACACCATTATTGCGCGGCCGCAGGATGCCAAGTGCAGTCGCACTCACTATTATGCGGCTCGCAAATGACCAGAATCAGAGAGCCTTGATTGAAGCTATGCGGACCGCACTATTATTGTTCGGCCGCGGGATTCAAAGGTGCGGCGGCATTCATAATTATGCGGTCCGCAGAAAAAGATCCAAGTCCCAACTCCAGTCAAGTGTGCGGCCGTACTAAAAAATGTGCGGTCCGCGCAATTAGATGAAGTGCGGTCGCATCCCACTTTTATGCAACCGCAGAAGTCCCAGTTGACCAGTTAAGCTCAGAGTGCGGAGCGCACTCAGAATTATGTGGCCGCACACACTCAGAATTATGCGGAGCGCACTGTTTTGAGTAATATTGTACTAGATTAGCTTCTAAATATTAGATTTTCTTTCCCTAATCAATTAATATGCATTCTATCTTAATTTCTTCTTGTATTACTTCATTTTTCATGAGTAGCTAAATTTCTAGCTAGGGTTGTGGCCCAACCCTAGTGTGGGTACTTAATGGGTGTTTGATTTAGGACTTGTTTGTGATTGGGTTAGTGATATTTAGCCTAGTTCTTGCTTGAATTCAAGAATTAATAGTTGCAAACATTGATTCATGTATAATTGACTTAGTCTCTACTTGAGAAAGAGAGACTAAGTCTATGAAAACATGGCTAACAAGAAATTGATAGCCCCAATTACTAGAGATAGTAAGACCCGACTTGAGCATTTATCACTTATTTTGTGCAATACCCATTTGGACTTGAGAAAGTCAAATTGGGCGAAATCACTCAAACTACCCAGAGGTATAGAGTGAGTAATTGCGTGTGATTGTTATATTACAACCCCGACCAATCAAACTTGCCCTAAACTTCGACCGCCTCACTACCTATATTTGTGGTGTGAGTTTGGGCGACATCACTTTACCGTGAGCTGCATATCATTTTACGATCCGCAACCTGCAGAGTCTCCATCAGAGTTATTTATATTCTCCTGTCTAATTTGTATTCCTGATAGATGTTGTATTTTATTATATTTCCTAGTTGATACTTATGCACTTGTGACACCGGGTTTTAGGGTTGTTCATTATTGTAGTTCGTGTAAATATTACCCTTTACCTTGTAAATTCTATTTCATACTATTTAATTAATGAAAATTATAATTTCAAAATACTAAAATGAGTAATTTAGTGATCAATTACCGTTGGCTTGCCTGACGATGATGTTAGGCTCCATCACGACCTTTAATGGACTTTGGATCGTGACACAAACATTACAAGTATTTCATGATTCGGGTCCAAAACTACCCGAACACAAGCATAATTAGTAGCTATCCACGGACTCTCGTCACCTCGTGCGTACGTAGCCACCCACAATTAGAAGCAAATAGCAACTTAAATCACCTTTGAAGTAAATTCCCTCTTACAAGGTTAGGCAAGAGACTTACCTTGTCTCAAAGCTCGCTTTCCGACCTCAAATTCACCCTAAAGCCTCAACTTGATGGCGAACAATCCGAAACTAGTCAAATGTTGTATAAACTAATCAATATACACTCAAAACTAAATGATTTAGCTATTAGAGTAATTACCCAACCCAAATTGGATGATTCTTAAAATTCATCCCCCAGGCCCACGTGTCCAGATTCTGGATTTTTCGAAGAAAGTTGTTACCCATAACCTCACGAACTCAAATATTTAATTTTCACTCAATCCCATAACCATTTTTCTAGGTAAATCCCATTTTAGGGTTATTCATCTAAACCCATAATTTTCATAAATTTTTATGTTAAAATCTACCCATAATCTATGTATTTAACTTACATTGGGTAGAAATTACTTACCTCTAATAGCTAGATGGAAATCTCTCTAGGAAGCTCCAAAATCGCCCCAAGAAGTGAAATAAATTAACCAAAAATGACCTAAGTCCGAAATAAATGGACCTCACTGCCTCCAGGACTTTCGCATCTACGGTCCCTGTCCCGCATTTGCGGAAGGTTCATCGCAGATGCGCTCCTCTCTTGGCTGGCCTAAGTCTGCATCTGCGGAAGAATGGCTTGCTTCTGCGAGCCCACTCCTGTGGCGCTCGAGCTGCATCTGCGGCCATCCTCGCTTCTGCGGACCCTTGACCGCTTCTGCTGTCGCGCATCTGCGCCCACGCATCCGCATTTGCGATTTCTGGGCTGCCTTTGCTGGGCCGTTTCTGGGGCTGCTGTCTTGCTTCTACGAGCTCACACCTGCGGCTGGCCCTCCGCAAGTGAGATTACACCAGAAGCTGGGTGCTTCAGCTATCCAACTAAGGCCAAATGCCTTTCGCACATCGTCTGAATGGCATCCGGGGCTCCCGAGACCCTGCCCAAACGTACCAACAAGTTTTAAATTATAAAACGGACTCGCTCGCACCCTCGGAACACGGATAACAACATTAAAACTAAGAATCATATGCCAAAACCAATAGAATCAACTTTTGAATTTTAAGTTCTTCCAACTTACTCTGAATGCGCCGAATCATACTTAAACTACTCGGAATGACTTCAAATTTTGCGTACAAGTCTTAAATCACCATACAGAACTATTCTCAGGCTCGAAATCCCAATTTGACCTCGATAACACCAAATCTTACTTCAAACAAAACTTAAAGGATTTTAAAACCTTCAATGTGCCAACTTCCAATATTAAGCGCCGAAACGCTCCTGGGTCATCTAAAACCCGATCCGAATGTATGCCCAAGTCCAAAATCATCATACGAACCTATTGGAATCATCAAATCTTGGTTCCGAGGTCGTTTACTCAAAACGTTGACTCAAGTCAAACTTAGCCCTTTTTAGCCAACCTTAAGGAACCAAGTGTTCCGATTTCAACCCGAACCCTTCCAAATCCCGAACTAACCATCCCCGCAAGTCATAAAACAGTAAAAACGCATACGGGGAGTCTTATTTAGGGGAATGGGGATCTAAAAAGAAAAACGACCGGTCGAGTCGTTACATTAATTTTTGACTTAATTTATCATGGGTTTCTTTACTTTTCTTTGTATGTGCTTGATTTTTTATGCATCTGTTTTTTCCCACTCTGAAGATGAAAATAAGTGTTTCCTTTTAGTGATTCCGGAGGAAGTTACAACTAATGATCTTACTCGTCACCTTTGGTTGGATCGGAGGACATATAAGGTGGCAGCAGAGATATGAGAGTTCTAAAGTAAAATCAGATATGCATGAATTTAAACGTACCAATTTATTTTCATTTGGTAAAGACCAAATATTGGTCACAGAAGCAGCAGTGAACTAATGACTCAAAAATGAATTTTTGCTTTAGCTTTTTATGTAGTACTAGCTTTAGGTAGGCACTTTGCACGTTTACTTATGTTAATAAAAATAATCATTAAAAATTACATAAGTATTACTAAGCAATATGCTTGTGTGATCAAATAAAAAACAAATATAAGTTCCTGAAAATGATAAATGTTAACCCTATTTAGCTAGCTCAATAAAAAAAAAATGTCTTATTGTGATTTTGGCATTGTCTTTAATTATTAAAGATAACTCTCTCTCTCTCTTTAGATTTTTAATTATATTATTATTATTTTGTTATAATTGCTGAGTATAATTTTCAAATATTATGCAAAAAACCCGAAGAAGAGGAAAATATTAGTATTTGAGTAGAAAATTAAAATTGTTCAAATATAATATCGAATAATTTATAGTTAAACAAGATTAAATGATAATTCGATTTAACGTAAAATAACTTTTAAAGAAAAAATAGATCATTATACAAATATAGATATATCAGTACTAATCTACATGGTTGCGACATAAATTGCATATAAATTTTGTGTCATGAGAATTATCCTTCTCAAAAGAATTATAGTTAAAAAGGCATATGACGAAGTCTCGGTGATATTGTGAGTTAAGTGTAAAATGAACGTGCTTTAAGCATGTTTTTTCCTCTCTTTTTTTTTTTGTTTATTTTTCTGATTATATTTTAGAAAATCATAGCTCCACTTTCACTCTATTACATTGCGTACTATCTCCGAATTATTGAGTTGATAGTGCTTTTGAATAAAATATTTAATACTCCCTCTGTTTCAATTTATGTGAACCTATTTGACTAGACACGGTGTTTAAGAAAAGAAAAAAAACTTTTAAACTTGTGGTGTAAAATGAATTACATATATTTTGTGTGGCTATAAATCATTGCATAAAGGTAAATTATTTCCAAATAAAAAAAGAGGTCATTCTTTTTGGCACATACTAAAAAAGAAATATGTTCAAATAAATTAAAACGGAGGTAATAGTATATTTACGTTAATTTATTTAGCAGGGATGGTGGGAACTTCGACTCCCCAAAACTAATAGATATTGATGGGAGTTAGTTTCAATATTATTTGAACTTCGACTCCCCAAAACAGTGTGAATATATATTTGTACGTTTCTTGTTTATGCAATGAACTAAAATTAATTTTAGCTGTTTTCAAATAAGGAAAATATTTATATAAGGTGAAACTTAATTAATTTTAAATTCCTAAATATAGGAGTTTTTACATAGTTCAAATAAGAAAAAATTTAATAATCAAAATTTTAGATGATTTTAAATTCCTAAATATTAGGAACATAATTATTAAATCACAATTTTGTTCAATAAGAAATCTAGTTTTAAGGGACAAAAAAGGCGAATGACATTTTGTTAAGGGCATTTGTGCTTTTAATATAGTATAGATAGATATAGATAGATATAGATATGTGGAGTACAAGATCCAGTACTATATATCCTTTATATAATAAGTTAAAATTTTGTTCACGCATTTGTATATTGTAATCACAAAAGTATTTTGAGATGAGTGTGTACCATTCTGCAGTGGTGTGAAAAGGACTACCATATTAACGGAGTAAATATGAGTATCATCATGCTAAATGCAATTGAGACTGCAAGAATGAAAGTATTCTTCATACTCTGGGCTCTCTATTCCTACCCTGAGAATTTGGTTTCTTATAGTTATTCTCAAAAATGAATTTGAGTTTTCTCTTTCATATGACCCCAGCTGTGAATTATATTTCATTTACAGGTACAATGTGATTTTATGCAAAATGGTTGCAGAGAAATGGATCAGAAAAATGTCGAATATGTCAACAACTCTCCATCTTTATGTTGCCTCTGATTTTTTTGATGCATATGGATATGATACCCTCACCATCTGTCAAATATAAGGTGCACGTTCTCAGAAGCTCTATTGTGTTCTTATGGTTATGGCTAAAACATAATCGTACTGGGACTTTTTTTCTTTTAAGAGGAACGGGTATCTTTCATTTTGTGATGCTAATAAAGTATTTTAAAGATAAATACAAGTTAATTTTTGAATCGCGGGTTAAAATTTTGATAGAATTCATGTTTGCATAATACCTCACTAGGACTTAAATTTTCTTAATAACGTAACTGAACATTTTCTTTTTAAAGATATTCTGTAAGGTGCTTAGCCAACAGATCTTTATACCAAAAACAAAGACAATCTGTGGTTAGCCAGTATGATTTAAGGTGTGTGAATTTTTTTTTCCAAATTGGCATATTGATCATTTGGTTCTATAACTTCATCAATTGCAGGTTACAAACAAGCATTGTTGGAAAGGCCTTGACACTGTATTTTTCCTACTTTGGCCTTAACCTTGTATTTGAGATGCTGCAGCTTTTTCCTACTTTGGCCTTAAGAGTGTATTTTTCCTTTCTAATTTTCTACAAATACTTACTTGGTGGTAATTTATTGTAGAACACGTTACACTTCTCTATTTACAGTGAACTCATTTTAATTATTTGAACGAAATATCTTGCTTGGCTATATCATGTAATTGACAGGCTCTAATATATTCATCAAAGAGTTAAAGAAAGGGAAGCTCAAGAGAGCATAAGCGACTAAGATGATTAATCTTCAGAGTGGATGCATCGATATGCAATAATGGAAGATAAAGAATGCACCTTTTTGCAATCACTTAATGTTTCAAATGTAGATATTTAGTAATCTTTTTATATCTTGTGAATCTTTGTTCCTCAATAAACTTATTGACTCGACAATTAATGTTGCTCATTCTTCCTTTAAATGCTTGATATCCTCAAGTAGAAGGGTGATGTTTTAACTTCAATACCACACAAGAAGGGGTGATTTGTATGGTGTCCAATTTTTCGCGTGCACAGATTATAGAAGGACCTGAGTCTTTTATGTGTTCCTTATCCTACCGTTGCGGAATAATAAATGCAGAAATTAAAGAACACAAGGATTTTACGTGAAAAACACTTGGCTCAAAAAGGTAAAAAAACCACGACCTACTTCCCAGTAGGATTTTCCCAAAACTCTTCACTAAATCACTGAGTCAAAAACTGCATTTACAAAATACTTTTGTAAATCTAGGATTAACTCTAATCCCGTTGTGGCACACTGCCTCTAACTGTTGTGACAACTTCAAGTTAACTCTAGCTTGAATACTCTAGGTATCTATTACAATTGCCTCTAGATAAAGCTGAAAGGTACAATATGAAAACATCTACTAGAATTGAACTAGAATAAAAGACAGACACTTGGAACTGATTCTTCTATCTGGTTCAAGTAGCTTCAGGTTCGCACACTTGAATCACACACGGACTACTTGCAAAATGTCTTGCTATTTTGCTCTCAATTCACGTTTAACTTCTGTTTTTGTGCGTTACCTGTAGAATGAGAACATCCTGCGATTTATAGAGTTAGTAGAGTAGAAAATAACTAGAGTTCTAATGCTACTCTTCCTTGGTGGAAGAGTTCTAGTTGATCTCAACCTCTATCTCCTCCCTTATCTTGGATAGTGTTCCCTTTGATTAATGAGTCCTTCTCCTTATCAATTATGCAACCTTCAATCAGGAGATATTAATTAGATCAAGTTAAGCTTATCTTCTCCACGTGCATCCCACATGCTCAAATCTGCCCGTGTGTATGCACACAGGGGATGAACCTGGTTCATGCCTGAGCTTCCTTTGTCAATCTTCAAAATTAACCTTCACTTAGGCCAACAAATTTTTCCTTTTTGATGATGACAAACTCTGTGCTTTTCATAAGCTTAGGCCATGTTTCAACTTAGCTCAACATCAACACAATGTTAGAAATATTTTTTCTTTTTATCACTTATCATCAAGGACGAGGTGCATTAGGTTATAAACATCACTTTTCAAAGTGTAAAGCGCAACCTTTTTTCCCCTTTTGACATCATCGAAAAGTTGCATAAAAATGTGAGATAACCAGATTTTAAAACTTACTCATGGCCACTGGGTCTAATTCAAATGCAATCATGGATTAATCATCATAGATCAAGCTAAGAATTTTAACCATCAAAAAAATATAAACAAACAGTTAGAACAGAAGACAATGAATTTCATTGATGATTGATAAGATTCTACCACAAAGCATAAGAAGAAATAAACATACTGGAAACATGAGCAAAAGAAACTAAACAAATCTCGAACTGGGTCATTAGTTGATCTACACTAGGCTAGGAGGCTTAAGGCTGGGAAGAACTAGGTGCTTGATTTTTGGTTTGGAGGAGTTTCAATATATCCTGAAGAATGCCATCATTCTTCTCCTTTTCTCTTGCCAGCTCAGTTCTGAGAGCATCTCTCTCAGTCTCCACCTCTGCCAATCTCTTCTTCATCCTCTCAATCTCAACATCCTTAGCCTCACTTTCTTCAGTAGGTCTGCGGGGGTTTCCTCTACAGATGAACCAGGTTAATCTCTATTTTTTCTAAGTTGAACCAACCTTTCAGCAGCTTCGCCAGACCCACTTCCCCCTGTTTTCTTTACACTCCCCTCTACTTCAACAGATGTTTTTTCCCAAACAACCATTTCACCCGTGTTTTTGGTTAAACTAATAGGAGTGGGTGAAAAATCAGCCACTCTTTTACCCTTTCCCCTCACAGCACTTCGAAAACCCTTGCTCTCTTTTTCTTTTTCTTTTTTATTTTTACCACCAATTCCTCTAGACTATGTAGTTTCAACACCTGCTATAGACCCTACCAGCACAAACCTATTCTCCAAATTTGTATCAACTTCAAAAATTGTCTCAGGAGTAACTTTAGGGCCAGAAGTTACCTGTTTGATTTCAGAAAAACCGTTTCTTTCCCCCCTTATTAGCATATTTAAACGAGTCTTCAGATTTCTGAGGTTCCTGGACCTTGCTATCCTTCAATTGTTTATCTAATTTCTTGGATAATGCGCTCCCTGCTACAGTCTTGCGAGCAAGCATCTTAGTTCTTCCTTTCTTAGATAGAGGTGTGGTTGAAGGTGTGATAGATGGTGTGGGTGTGATTTCCTTGGGTGGGGATGAAGGATTTTCAGGAATGTTAGCCATTTTTTTATGCTTGGGTATGTGAGAGAAGAGAATTGGATTGTGCTTGGAAGATGAGGGAAGATGGAGAGTATTTAACGGCATCTCATGATCCAAATATTATTATTTCAAATTATGCAGAGTGTAGAAAACATACCGAGTAATCTTAATGAACCAGGTTTTTCACTGAGAATTCTCTTGTGTAAATAACATTAGGGATTAATTAATCATTTTAACACATGGCACAAGAGTATGCTATTGAAAGTATGAGACTGAGCAAAAATTAATCTAATTAAATACACAATTTCAAGATTTTCTAACCAATTTATTTTTTTTCGTTGTGAATTCTGAACTGGTCCTTTTAGGTGATCTTAATCATCCCTAATTCTAACATGTTCCTTTCAAAGTGATCTCTACTTAGGGCTTTTGTGAAGATGTCAGCAATTTGCTTGTCAGTAGCACAAAATTCCATAGTGATCAACCCCTTTTCATATTTATCCCTCAAAAAGTGATGCTTAACATCTATGTGCTTAGTTCTCTTATGATGAACCAGGTTCTTGGTCATACTAATTGCACTAGTATTATCACAAAAAATGGGGATACAACCAACATCAATTCCAAAGTCCATTAATTATTGTTTGATCCATAACAATTGAGCACAACATGAAGCAGCAACAACATACTCAGCTTCAGCAGTAGATAAGGCCATTGAATTTTACTTTTAGTGGCCCAAGATACAAGACGTGAGCCAAGAAAGTGTGACATACCTGAGGTGCTCTTTCTATCCACTAGAAAACCTGCATAATTAGCATCAGCATATCCCACTAGATTGAAATTACTTATCTCAAAACATGAGACCCTCCCCTAAAATGCACCACTGTTGGTAGCTCCTTCTTGCAATACTTATTCCACATGAAATTAGACCATAAAGATTTTGTGGTCCTAAATCTCCACCATAGTTTAGCAAACAGTGCCCTTGAGACACAATTTAAGGACCTAAAACCTAGCCCCCCTTCCTCTTTAGGAAGGGGAATATTTTGCCATGAAGCCCAGTGTATGCTTCTCCCTTCTTCCTTTGTGCTCCAAAAGAACCTAGCAAAAGTCTTATGTAGATTCCCCAGGATGTTGTTTGGTGGATCAAGGACTGATAACATGTGAACTGGCATACTTTGCAACACACTAGAGATGAGTATTGCCTTTCCTCCAAATGATATGAACTTTCCTTTCCATGAATGCAATTTAGTCTTCACCTTCTTGATAAGATCCTCATAATAGTCCTTCTTCCTTCTAGTGTAAAAAATAGGACACCCTAGTTATGTGAAGGGGAATTTACCTTTTGCAAATCCTGTAATAGCTCCAACTGCCTGAAATAATCCATTAGCAACCTTTGAATACATGTAGTATGAACTCTTATCTTTGTTGATCATCTGACCTGATATCTTCTCATAGTTCTCCAACACTGCCATAATCAGAGGATGAGCAGATGCAAAGATTATCGTATCATCAGCATACGCCAAGTGGTTTAAAGGATCCGACCACTTAGGCATTCCAAATCTCACAAATGACTTGTCTTCAAAGAGCTTATTCAAAGACCTGGAAAGTACCTCAGCTGACAAAACGAACAATGCTGGAGATAGGGGATCCCCTTGTTTCACACACTTTGTCAACTTAAAGAACCCTGAGGTCTGCCCATTAACCAATACTGAATACCAGTTATTTGACATCAAGTTCCACACCATGTTGATAAAGTGTTCAGAAAATCCCATCTTCCTTAGCACATGCAATAAGTAATTCCATGAAACCCTATCATAGGCGTTAGCCATATCAAGCTTGATCGCCATATTAGCTGGCTTTTCCCTTAACCTTATGTCAGTGACAATTTCTTGAGTCAATAAGATGTTCTCAAATATATTCCTACCCTTTACAAATCCGGATTGATTAGGAGCTATTAGTGATGGCAAAAAACTCTCCAATCTGTCATGTAACACCCTAGACAAAACCTTGTTAATGAAGTTGCTCAAACTAATAGGTCTTAAGTCAGAAAAGGTCTCAACTCTAGGTTTCTTGTGCAGCAATACTATATTAGTGTGAGTGATGGATTTAGGCAATGCAGCTCCTCCATAGAAGTGTAGCACCATGTTGTGTATATCAACACCAATAACATCCCAGCATGTTTGATAAAACAAGCCAGTGAGTCCATCAGGGCCACTAGCGCTCTCCCCACTAAGCTCAAAAACTGCTGTCCTTACTTCTTCAATTGTTGGCAATCTACTAAGTTCCATATTCTGATCCATAGTGACCATTGAAGGTACATTATTGAGCAAGGAAAATTCAGAAGCATCACCTTCATTTGTGAACTATTTTTGATAGAAGTCCACTGCAGCTGTAGCCGATTGCTCCTGGTCTTCAATCCATACCCCACTGCCACTTTTGATCCTCTTCAGTTGCAATTTCTTTCTTTTGCCATTGACATGATTGTGAAAGAAACTTGTATTCCTATCTCCTTCAGCAAACCAAGTCATCCCAGCTTTTTGCTTCCAATACTGCTCCTCAATACTCAAGTATTTCTTCAATTCAGAT